ACCTGCTAGAGTGGCATTACAGGATTTAAAATTGACATTTGAAATTTTGCCAACATCAGGTGGTAAAACTAGTCAGGAACACTTCAAAATACTTCCTAATGGACATCATATTTAGACCATCTCTCAGTCCCCTAGAAAACAGAGAAATTTTGAAATGCAAACTGTGTTAGAAAGCAGTGGAGAGCTACTGCATACCAGTTTTACTTATTATCACTTCCTGAAAGTGAGGATACATGACAAAGCTTAGAAACGTATATTTACAAAATACTTTTTCCCTGCCATAACAGCTTTCCACGAATGCCACAACTAATAATGCAGATGTCTAGTCCATGTGCTCCAGCTTTAGAAACTGAAAACAATACCTTGGCGTTGATTTGTTACCATGCACACAGAACTACCCCTTAACACACACTGAAGAAAGGCCACAGACTAGAACAAGACATTAACAGCACTTTTAATGTATCAATTTATTGCATATGTCAGTACATAAAAATAGAAAAGTGTTTTTTGTAAAATTAACTTTATCGTAAAAACCAGACTAGAATGAGAATGTAAAACTTTGCCACAATTAGCACATATACAGTAACATTTACGCTTTGTCTACAAAACTTAAGAATACTTTATAAGACAGTTTTGCCTTAACTATATATTAAAGAAAAATCAAATAAAAAGCTTGCATCTTATATCCAGTGACTGTTTCTGAATTCAAAACACAAGTGTTATTTGGAACTTCAATATGCTATCTCTATTTACACTTCTGTGGGGTTCTACTTTAAATTATACAAGCAGGATGGCATTGCAAATTATACCTAATGGGATTCATCAGGCTGATCCCACTACATGCAAGAGGCACTGATTTTATATTTGGCAGAAGTGCCTCCAGCAAAATGACGTGTCATTAACAAAAATAAAAATGTACTTTTCAAGAACTGAATTATGAAATACAAATGGAGGTATGTCTGCATCTTTTTGCTAACAGAAGAGACCATACCTTGGACTCTCAGTTCAGCCTTGAATTCTTCACTGTGAACATCCAACGTGACCCAAATGATTAGCTTAGAGATGCTGATATGCATATTTTGTATAAATAGTTAATCCTTCTGCCCTTCAGCTGAGAGATTGTCCATAGCCTACCAAATGCATTTGTGCTCTATTTCTAATTTTACCTGAGAAATGGACATGAGGGCAGCTAAACCAGTTAACATGTCTTCAGAAGAAAGCACAGCTTATCTCTCTGCATTTCACAGTTTAGAAACAAATACTGGGAATATAAACTTGGGTTAGCAGGAAGCCTCAAGTATTTCCACTAATTAAAACCACACACACATGTGCACACAAGGTCTTACACTTACTTACAAGGACTCTACTGCTACAGCTGTTCAACTCCTGCCCCCCTCTCCAACTTTGTTTTTCCTTTTTTTTTTTTTAAACTTAAATTTCCTCTTATAAAACAGACAATTCCTTTATTGAGCATGTTTAAACCAAGAAGCTTTCATACAAACCTATGAAAATAACTCAACTTTTTCCCAAACTAGAAATTCATATGTACAGGACAAATACTTGAGAAATATCTATATACAAACGGATAACTTCTATGAGAAAACATATAATGGTATTAAATAAATGCAATAGTATCATAGCACACATTTTGGCAATTTAAAGTTATTATTACTATGTTGCTTACAGTTCAGCTTTTAGCAGCAGGTAACTGTGGGTTTCCATCACACAATCCATAAAACAAAAACAAGTCTTGACTTGTCAGAACAAGTTCCTTCCCCCTCCTCCCTCCCTTAAAGGGCTGTATGCACAGTAGTGGAATATTTGCATAAAAACATCATTTCCTTCCTGTTTTCTTTCAGTGGATTTCACAGCCAATGCAACAAAAAATAGCATGATAACATTCATTCACAAGTGTATGTGGCCAACCCATTAAGGGAGAAGCAAAACATATGTGGAAGGTGGAAGAAACCACATTAAGTGTAAAGGATGCATATATGACAATGGTGTTTTCTCATACTCAATATTTGCAAAAGCTAAGTTTCATATTTATGTCCTGCAGACAGTATAGTGAAAATATATGGCTTGATAATCAAAAGTAATATTTAGACAGAGCCCACTTTGAACAGTTTCAGATTGCCATAATCTAACATCACAGATTTGACTCTGATTTGCAACTGTATGCCCAAATGAGAATACGTCATTGGTACGTAAGTGCCACGTAATACTAGGGGTATTTTGGGTTGAGATTTTTGTTTTGATGGGTGGGAAAATGCATTAAAAGCCATGTTAGTTTAGAAATTGACATTTTAGGAAAAAAAATCACAGTCGCATTTAAAGGCAAGTTATGACAACTGAAACAACTACTTTCTCTTAATTTTATCTCCAACAATTAATCTATTCTTTTGGCTTTATTAGCTGACTTTTAGAAAAGCAGTATTTGACTGCCAATTTTCCTTCTCTCCTTCCACCTCTATTCTAAAGTAACGTGAAGCAGATGAAACAATCTATGCAAGCAGCTCACACCAGGGAAAGGAAATGCTATGTCTGTTAACTCCTTTCTGCTGGTACAAACACCGCCTCATCTCCCATCCCCACAGCCAAACTTCTCAAATATACCTTCCCCACATGCCCTGCCTGTCTGCCCCCCACCAAAAAAAAAACCCAAAAAACAAAACCCCCAAAAAACACCACCACTGTAAGGCTGAAAAGATAGTTTTGGTTTCACTCAGATTTAAAACTATGCTGTATGATTTTAGGTCTACAGATCCCAAAAGATCTTTAGTTTTTTCAATCAACTCTAAGAAAACCTTAATAATAGGATCATGAAATATACTTACCAGAGAAAGCAGCAAGTTCTGGTATGTATACAGTTAAAAATTAAAAAAAAAAAAATCACATTTAAGTAAAGATGTATCATCCTATCTACAAATTGCTGATAACTATTATCCATGTGTACAGAAGAACTGTAATTCCATTAGGAGGCATAACCATTAAGGCACCAGTTCAGGAAAGCAGTTTTATTCAACCAAAGAATTTAAGCACAAGCTTAAAATACCACTGTCCCTCAGGAAACAGATTTTAGGTGTATGCTGAGATGCTTTTCTGAATCAGGACAACATGGTATAAAAGTTTATTTAAAAATTTCAATCTGAAGGGCAATCATACACATTGTGTGGAAGATTTTCCAGTTTGTTCTTCTCCAAAAAAATATTTGGAAGAGGCAAAATCAGCTGCAGTGGATGAGAAATTAAACCTGCAGAAGAGATATAAACAGCTCCCACACTCCAAAATGAACTAAGCTAGCAGCACACGTCTTTGATCGCAGAATTAAGGTTGGAAGAGATCTTCACAATTACCTAGTCCAATCACCAACCTAACACCACCATAATCACTCCTAAACCATATCCCCAAGTGCCACATCCAGATGGTTCGTGAACAATTCCAGAGATGGTGACTCCATCACCTCCCTGGGCAACTTAGTCCAATACCCAACACCTCTTTCAGTGAAAATTTTTTTTCTAATATCTAGTCCGAACCTTGCCTGACACAACTTAAGGCCATTTCCTCTTGTCCTTCCACTTGAGACATGGCAGAAGAGATTGAAACCCACCTTCCTAAAACCTCCTTTCAGGTAGTAGAAAGCGATAAGATCTCCCCTGAGCCTTCTTTTCTCTGGACCAAACAACTCTAGCTCCCTCAGCTGCTCTTCATAGGACTTACCCTCTAGGCCCTTCCCCAGCTCCATTCCCCTTCTCTGGACACGCTCCAGCACCTCACTGTCTTTCTTGTCACAGAACCCAAGGTGTGGCCACACCAGTGCCGAGTACAGACAGACATTCTCTGTCCTACTCCTGCTGGCCACACTATTTTTGGTACAGGCCATGATGCCATTGGCCTTCTTGGCCACCTGGTCACACTACTGGCTTACGTCCAACTGGATGTTGACCAGCACCCCCAAGTCCCTTTCTGCTGAGCAGCTCTCAAGCCACTCTTCCCCCAGCTTGTTGTGATGCCAGTGCAGGACTCAGCCCTTGGCCTTTTTGAACCTCGTTATCATTGGCTTTGGCCCATTGATCCAGTCAGTATCTGCAGAGCCTTCCTACTCTCAATAATATCACTGCCTAGGACTACCTGCTCGTTTTTATTATCCTTACTGTAACAACTGTATACATTAATCTCTAATCAAGTGATCACTGATAATTATTTGAATTTGTTTCTTTTGGAGGTATAAATAAAGGGCACATACATTAACTACACCAGCCTAATAAACTAACACAGATACTTACTTTTACCTTGTATGACCACCCATTTTACCTTGAGAAATATCACCTCAAAATGCGCAAGCAGACTACTAGTAACAAACAGTTTGCATGTACATCAGTGAGGAGAGCTTGAGGCAGAAGGGAGCTTAGATTGCACTGTTGTCTTTCTGAAGGTTACTTCTATTTTCTACGGCAAAATTACCTGGGTAAAATCCTGAAGTATGTTTAGGCACATACAACTTTCTGTGCACTATTATAATACAAATAGTAAAATGAAAGCAGGGAAAATGTTTTTTTTTTTTTCATTTTCAGTTGCAGTTTGAAATACTAGTAATAACCCAGGATAGTATACCTGCATGTATACCCTACCATTAACATTATTTTATATTATTTAGTACATTAAAGACTTCCCACTTTGCATAATATAAAATTTCAAGGAATAAAACACTAATCTCATGCATGGCACACTGTAAATAAACTCTAAGAGAAGCAACAAATCATTGTGCTAACCATGGCTGTCCAAAAAGCTCACACATACAGCAGTGAATACTGAAGAGCTTCCTGTTGTTCTAAACTAATACATTCTGCACTACTTTTGTAGCAAGTTCCTTTAATAGCATCTGTTGTACATATCAAAGAAATGGAATTTATGGACAGAGATACTAAAAAAGTATGAGAAAGACATAAAATGGTTCATTTACAATGCTGCAAATGTAAAAGTTATCTGGAACACCTTAATAAAATATCAGACCTTTCCAAGTTTAATTTCACTTTTTAGGCAAGTACAGACATGACATACATTTAAAAATGGACATTCTTTTACCACTTATCACAAATCAAGGTACAGTGCAGGTATTCCCCCCACCCTACCCCAAAGAAGAATATCAATTATATTATTGTTACATTAGATGACGTTTTCGCCATTTCTTCAGGAGAGTGACTCTTTATTACTTCTTTGATGAACTGTTCAAGTGCAGTGAAATAACCCTGGCACTGCCAAGTGTCATTATGAGTTCCATCAGGAAATATCGCCAATCTCTTAGTCCGAGCTGGAGATAATTCATAAAGTTGCTTCATCATAACTGGTGGAATTAACTGGTCAGACAACCCAGAGATGAAGAGCGAAGGCATTCTGCACTGAGAGATTTTTCTGTAGGACAGAAATTTATTTTTGTAGCACCATAAGGGAAGATATCGCATTGGAAAGAAAGAGAACAAAGTGCTGGCCATATAAGGGATGCTGAGAAAGGTGTTCTCCACCACGATGGCAGAAATCCTATGGGAATTTTCAGAAGCTAAGTGAATAGCTACTGCTCCCCCCAAGGAACGGCCAAAAAGAAAAATTTTTGTTTTATCAAGATCGGACCGAGTCATCACATAGTCTAACACAGCCTCAGAATCTAAGTACAAGCCTTCTTCACTTGCTTCTCCTTCACTTTTTCCATACCCTCTATAATCGACCAGAATTAAGTTTACTTTCAGGTTTACCAGCATTAACAAAGCATTTGGCAACCTGTGGCCGATGTTGCCTGCATTGCCGTGAAAGTAAATGATGGTTGGAGAATAAGCTGCATTGTCCCCTGTGTACCTCAGCAGGATAAGATTGAGAAGAACTCCATCTTTGGTTTTGATGAAGATATTTTCATGTGGTATACCAGTAGGCATAGGAACATAAAGGCGTGATGAAGAGGGCTGTTCAGGAAAGTAAAGCAGCACATCCTGGAATTTATATAATATACCCGCTATTGATACAAATATTAATATAAGTAGTATAATGCCTCCGTACAAGTGGAAAGTCACTATCAAGGGTAAAAGACAAATACGGCAGAGACTCCAAGACCAGGAAGCCAAAGCTAGTAGCCATCTTTTAACAAAGGTCCAAAGCATCCATGATTTTTCCATTGTAGAAGTCAGTGATCTTTTACTCCAAGCAAATCCTGCAAAAAAAGCCAAAGGTATGCACATAAATATAGGGAAAAGAAAAACAAAGTGATTTAAGCATTCATACTTGCAGAACATTAATGGTAAGTCAACATATCGGAGCATTAACATCAAATTTGGTGGCAAACTCCCTTTTTGGAAACCATTTGACTCTGTAAAAACAAGCAGAAAAGCAACCACAAGGAAAGGCTTTAGAACTCTTCAAAATCCCAGCAAAATCATTTAACAGCACTAGAAAATTGGTTGACTGAGACCATAGTAACTTACACTTTCCCTGTCTTCCCTACTCCCCAAGAGAACAACCATACAGACCGTATCACCAGTTTGTCAAAGCTTCTTATATAAGTAATTCTAAAATCCAAAACACAAACAAAAATAGCCTTTATTTTTAAGTTGCTAAGTAGCATTCAGTAAGCCTGTGCACACCACTTTGCAGCCAGTGGAGGCTCACCATGCATCCTGGCTCTGTTATTGGTGGCTTTCAGCATCTCGGTCAACCGTGATTACAGAGCAACATGTGAAGTGGTCAGAAGAGAGATTCCTCTACAGTAAGATACCACACTGTAGTTACCAGTTACCATCAGTTTGTGACAGCCTTTTTTGCTATATTTTGATTGTTTCTGATTTATAATGCTAGTTTTCCACTATCAGATCAGTAATCCATATTAAGTCTTTAGCTGAATGAAGATTGTATCATCACACAAGACCACTGAAAACAGTCAGCTAACTACACTGTTCTCTGATCAATGAAAAGCACAACTGCTGAAAGGACCAAACATGAAAACAGACTCATGACAAAAACACGCATACAGCATAAAATGAGGAGAGTGATGTTAATGACCAGAGATTAAACCTTCCTTCCAATTAAAAGAGACAGTTACATCTCCCAGCATACATATAATCTCTTACAGTATTTACTGCTAGGTTCAAGTGAAATATGGAAACAGGCAAAACCTGCCAAACCTACATGAGAACTACAGTACACCACTCAGTTGCCACACTGCCTGGAATGACAACACAAGCTCACTTGTTTAACAAAACTAAGTCATACAGCAGTAATAATTACAGTTTAGACACAAAGTTATAACCTCCTGAAATGATGTAATGCAGGAAGAATCTGAATTAAATCCAAAGGAGTTTGACATACAGAGATGCATCCAAGCATTCTGCACCAACCATCTTGGTAGGATCAAGTGATAACTGGCGACCTCTGCAGCCACAGCTGCCATTTATAACTGTTTTATGCAACAATTAGAAATAAATCAGAAATAAAAATAATCTGTTACATCTAAAGATTCACATATTAACCAAAAACAATGTGAAATTAAATCCAGATAAAAGATATATAAAAGATTTTATATACCGTATCTACTCTAAATACATAAAACTGGTGAAATATAAAGTAGTTAAAAAGAGCAGTTCCCAGCTTTGTTCTCCTGTATTACTTATAAGCTCATATTTAACATCCACATCCAAGTATTCACAAATATTGTCTATAAGAAAATTTAATTCTTGTGATCCATTTCTCTAGTAAAGAACTCACAGCAATTAGGAGACATATAAAGTAGCTACTTCAATTTCGAAGAAAACTTCCTAATGAAGTTAACAAACGTTTCCTGCATTACATTTCAAGACTATAAGAACACTGACAATGAGAGAGTAAAACCATTCTCCTTATCTATTCAAAATTTTGTTGACTTCCTTACCAATGAGACTCCAAAAATGCTTTCTTATCAAGACACTCACAAGAGTACGAGACTCATCATTAAAATTAATAAAAGATAAAGAAGTAATAAAAATCTCAAAGTGATGAAGTTTTGCAAAATTCCCATATACACTAAGGATTGTTACTTGAAGACTGATACAGCTGACTTTAATTTGTGCACCGCTTTTATTTTTATTTTAGTAGGCTAATATTATCAAAATGCTATACTATTGAGATACTGCTGCTGTGTGATTATTTCTTATATATATATATATAAACTTTGCTACTGGAGTTCTAAAACCAATGCATCCTACAACTAGAACTCAACGCACAGTAGTTAACAGGAAGGGCAAACTACACAGCCACAAATGTTTCATGCTCAGTACATATTTAAATAAAGTGGACTACTCTGCACTAATAAATAACTACATTACCATTAAAGTTTCCTTCCCAGTTATGAGAAACTTCACTAGTTCCATTCGTTTCCAGGCTGGAATCAGCCCATATCTCATACTTCACATCTTGCTGCAGGATTTGTCAGCTAGACAACTAAGAGGTAAGTTTCTCTAGGTTCTTCCCCACTTCCTTCCAATACCAATTGAAAGATCACTGGAGAGATAAAAGATGGTTTCTCAAACAAGCACGCAGGCCTAGAAGAGACTAAACCAAATCAGTACAAGTTTATTCTCAATAAAGCTACAATCCATGCTTTCTATGGACCCCAATGCAACAGACCTTCCAAACACTGTCTTGTTTGAGCTGAACAGCAGAAGATGATACAAACAGAACCAAACTTCCACTTGAAGGACAGAAATAAAAAGGGTAAGCTAATATAGTAATTTTCAATGAGCAATAAGGTCAGCACTTTTTGAAGTGTATGAGATCTAAGACTGAAGAGTAGGAGATTTGAGACTGTTGAGTATACTGCAAGACAACACACAGACACAAAACAATTCTCTTCTTGGTCTTCATTTCCCACTTCTGTTGTGCTAGATGGGAAGTTATACACCTTTCAAACATGTTACAATGTAACATCTTATCATGCAAAAACTCTGCGTTGAGGTACAAAGAGCATGTGTTACAATTCTCCTGTATCTCTAATTTTTCTGGCTAATAGGGGGCCAGAATAGTCAGGGAAAGGTGTGAGAGAGGGATGGGAAAGGGAGAACAATGCATTTAGACTTTGATGTCTGACCAGGTTAAAATAAGAAACAAAGTAGACCCATCACCTGGACAAAACTGTCCCTTTTTCTAGACAAGACTGCTTCTCTTCCTGGACTACAAGAACCGCTCATGGACTTGCTCCATAACTGTCTGATGTCGCAGTTACGGCAAGAAGCATGCACACCTTTATGTCTTCTAAAGGAGAACTTTTCAATCAATTTCTGTCTTATGCAAGTATGACTTGGTAATTTTTTTTTTTCATGGCTGTTTAACAGGATTATCTCAGTTATACTGCCTTCTACTGTTATCTCAGTTATATTGCCTCTACAGCTCTCTAAAGAGATAACACGAAACGTCACTCATGTATTACAGATGGAGACATGGGTACCAAGGGAAGTCAGCTAGTTGGCCAGTGGCAGGCTAGTGGAAGTTTTGTATCAGACAGGGAAATAAGGTTTGTCTACAGGTTTCCTTTTCAAATCTCCTAGACAAAACATTAATTCCCTGGAACTCATTCTTGGTTCATTAAAAAAATTTAAAAAAAAATTTTGAAGGAACATTGTATTGTGGCACCATATTTCAAGTAATTGTTGTAATTTTGCAAATGACTTTGCAAGAAAAGTTTTCCTATAACAAGGAGTCACATCCCATTTTACAGCATTCACAGTATTTTATAACTGATTATTTAAACTAATTTAGAGGCTATGTAAACAAGCATAAGGGCATTTTTTTTTAAACTTGTCACAAAAGTCAATGTCTGTGACAAATATAGTCAACGACAGCAGAACCACACAGTTCTATATGGTAGAAGTTTTCCTAAGTAACTCTTATGTTAATCTTAATTCCTACATATGCTGTTCTTGTTCTTAGCTACTCTTACTACTGGAAAATATTTCCTAATACACTTAAAAAGAAGGGACACATTACTTAAATTCTTCACTTTGGGTTCAATGTTTATTAACCTCCAAATACAAAACCTACCTTCATTTTCTCCAGACTATATAAATTCAGTTCCTCTGCATTCTTCTCATAATGTTTTCTCTTTCACAAATATGATTAGAAGTCTTTCCTCTACCATCCACATGCATCACATTTCCTCCTGTCCCTCTGATAATGTGCATTAGAAAGGCTAGACTTTGAGAATCTTGATGCTTCCTACAAGAATTTCTTTGATGATGCTTGTATACTTCAAAGACAAGCAGAAGACAGTACTGAAATACTAAGTTCTATTGTGGAAATCATTAACACACAGGAACAGCAATACAGCCTAATTCAATCTTGACCTAATGAAAGTAAGACTTAGTCGGACTGCTGCTGTACCTTTGGCTCAAAGACCAGTTCAGTTTACACCGCCACATAACTGTATTGCCCCTCAAAACAGAAAGGAAATTTGCAAGTGATGAGTTTCAATTTTATGTCAGAGGGATATACACATATATTGATACACACACACCTGTACCTATACATCTCCACTGCTGAATCCACAGTCCAGGAGCTATTGCAGACCTTTGTGTTCTATCAGACAAGCTACAAATCTCATAATTAGGTAACTACTGAAAACACAAATCACTCACAACAATAAAAATTCCGAGAAAAAAAATAAGGTCTTTATGATCAAGGTACTTTAACAATATTCTGCTTTGCCCTAATGCTATTCTTAACTGGTTAATGCCATTACTGACTGAAGAATCACAAAAACTCAAGTGCATACTTAGAGTACTTGTGAACAATTTTTCACTCATTCTGAACGGCAGCTGAAATTACTCTTTTATCTGTCGCAAATTCTGTTGTTTTGTCGTGGTCCGTATTTTCAATATTAAAAAAGGGCCATTTTCATACACCAATCACATTATAAAGCATTTACCTTTAGATGTGATGATTTCCCAGGCTTCATCTCTGTCTGAAAGACAATTCCATTTATGAATTGAGTAAAATTGCTTTTGAATTACACACATAATTTACCGTTTGTCTTCAGTTACTTGTAAGAAAATTAAGAAGTGCTAGCATCCAACCCCCCTAGAACTACAACTGCTTTACTGATGAAATTATGCATTTCATATTCATGTTCCACCTATTAAGCTGAACACTTGTTTGAAACATCTGATGAACTTGAAAACATTTTACAATGAAATTCAAGAATCACATCGAAATGTCCTGGACTATACACACAGTACACAGTATATAATATACATAGCGCATAAAAATGAAGTCAGGATAGATTTACATTGTCTCCTTAAAACTAACTTTTAGTGTATGAGCAGCCTTAAAGTTAGTGCTAAGAAGCACAATCCGGTGTTTAATTGCTGCTTCCTCATCTAAGAGCTGTCTTAGCACTCACTGCAATCTTTTGGATTTCAAAATAAACAAACAAAATCAGATATTTCTCTGTGTTTTTAAGAAATGCCAAAAGACATCTGTTGGTTTCTACTGCACTTCCTTCTCCTGGACTCTACCTGCTCCAGACACTGATAAGATTTGCTCAAGCTTTAAATTTACTCATTTATTCAGAAGACTCCTGTAAATAGGAATACTAAGTCCTCAACTTTAAAAAATTAGTTTCAGATGGGAACTGATCTGAAAGAAAACTTACAAGCTACAATCTACAAACCTACAAGACAGTAAAAATACACTTCCTTAGTACTAAAATCCTACAGAGACACTCATAAAAAAAAAAAAAAGAGAGAGAAAGGAAAAATGATAGCAAAGCAGTGACTCCCAATAAAGGAAAAAGCACAGTAAGAATAATTACGCGTCACACATTTAAGGGCTCTGGCTTTTAAAATCAACAAGCCACTTGTCCTACTTATTTCAAACAGGGAATTTTCACAACTCTGCATCAGGTTGCACATGTACATAATTGAAAGTGTTTTCCTCTTAACTCTTATTACACATCCTTTTACAACCAACAAGTCTTAATGAACCTTATAGGCATGTCTTGAATAATGATATTGAGTAAAAAACCGCCAAAACAACAACTAACCAAAGCTGGCTATATTACAACCTTAGCTTTCTAGTGAGCATAAGCTTCTAAAACATATTACTTGACAAGTATGTTAAAAAATTTTCCGTTTTACCTGAGACAACCACCTGGTTCAGCCTTGCCAATAGTCACTTGGCACAGTAAGAACATTAAAGTTATCATCATCATCAGCCCAACCTTCTACAAGCATCCCCATTTGCAGGAATTGTTACATACGGCAGTGGAGACAAACGAAACACTAGAGCAAGACCTTGCTACCAAGAAACTAAAGATCTCCCGAGGCTTCGCAGGGAGGCACCTGTAGGAACTTCTGCGGCGCTGTCAACGCAGCAGCTCCACGGGAGGTACGTCCCGAAAGGCAGGCACAGGAGCCGAACACTACCCGACAGCACGGCTGCAGCCGCTCCAGGGAACCGCATTTATCAACAGGAGATGACACGAACACAAACCACACCCACTGCGGCTACCCCGCGCCCCGCTTCCCGCCGCCGCGGGCCTCCCGGGGCAGGGCCGGCGCCACTCCCTCTGCAAGCGCCTCGCGGGGCGGGACCGGCGGGGGGCGCAACACAAACCGCCGCATCTCTCGGGCGGCCGCCGCCGGTGCGTGCGGGCAAAGCGGCAGACAACAGAGCGCAACTCAACCACGGCTACGATTCCTCAGAGGAGCACTGAAGTCCGAGCCAGCGTTTGCCGAAATACTTCAAGGATCGACCTGGGGTCGGGCGGACGTCGTAAGTTTGCACACCTTTCTCTCGCTATCATGAGCTAGCGCCGCGAGGGGAAGAGGAGTCGTCTAAGGCTTATGCCAGCGGTCCGCGCCGGCCCGGGGGAGGGAGCGCGGGACCGGCGGTGGCACCACTCGGCCGCCCTCTGTTTCCGGGGCGGGGCAGCCGGATGTCAGCCTTATGCTGGCAGTATCCCAGGATCCACGTAAGTCTTCCCCGGGGTGGCTGCGCCTCCATCGCCCCGGCTGTCTCCTCTCGTGCAGAGCAGGAGGTGCCCGCCCGGAAAGTGTCCGCTCCCCCCTTGGCCGTGGCAGGGGGATGTGGGGGGTGTGTGCGGTCCCTCTCCGCGGGAGGGGGCCGGCCCCGTTGGACACCGCTCCCTCAGACGGCGGGGAGCGGCCGGGCGACAGGGCCCGAGGGCGGGCGGTGTCGGGAGCAGGCTGCGTTCTCGGGCGGGGTGGAGGAGGAAATTGGTCTCCGAGCAGTGAAAGCTCCTGCCTGGGCAGCAGCGGGAGGGGAGCGCGCTGCCTTCTCCTGCCTTGCAGTCAGTCCTCAGTCGAGGTGATGCCAGTGTTTCAGTGTCGCAGCCCCACCGATGAGTGTGACCCTTGACTAAGGACAGTGGTACCAGCTGATGACCTTTAAGTAAAGATAATGGTTAAATCTTAGTTAGAAAAAGAAGGAAAAATGTAAATACTAATTAGAGATGGGGTTTTTTAGAAAAACATGATGCCATTTTCTCTAAAAAATATACTTTTTTTTTTTGTTCTTAGTGAAAAGTAGACTGATGGCTTCCGCACCTGTTTCACAGCCTCCTAAAAAAACAGTGGCCTCTCACGTGCCTTTTGCAGATCTGTGTTCTACTCTGGAGCGAATACAGAAGTGTAAATCTCGTCCGGAGAAAACCAAGTATTTTAAGGATTTTCTGGATTCCTGGAGGAAATTCCATGATGCACTTCACCAAAAAGAGAAAGACGTCACAGATTCCTTTTACCCAGCTATGCGACTTATTCTTCCACAGCTGGAAAGAGAAAGGATGGCATATGGAATTAAAGAAACTATGCTTGCAAAGCTGTATATCGAACTGCTTCATTTACCAAAAGATGGAAAAGATGCTGCAAAGCTTTTAAATTACAGAACACCTACAGGCTCACGAGGAGATGCTGGAGATTTTGCAATGATCGCGTACTTTGTGCTAAAACCTAGGAGCCCAAAACAAGGCAGACTGACAATAGAACAAGTCAATGAACACTTAGATGCGATAGCTAATAATAATGCTGCTAAAAACAAGGGTCAGTTAAAGAAAAGTCTTCTTCAGTTAATTACCCAGAGCACAGCACTGGAACAAAAATGGCTCATCCGGATGATTATAAAGGATCTAAAGCTTGGTGTTAGTCAACAAACTATATTTTCCATTTTTCATCCTGATGCTGCTGAATTACACAACGTCACAACTGATTTAGAAAAAGTTTGCAGACAGCTGCATGATCCGTCTGTCTCACTTAGTGATGTTTCTATCATGTTGTTTTCTGCCTTTAAACCAATGCTTGCTGCTATTGCAGATGTCCAGCAAATTGAGAAACAGATGAATAACCAGGTATTCTACATAGAAACTAAGCTGGATGGTGAACGTATGCAGATGCACAAAGATGGGGATGTGTATAAATATTTTTCCCGAAACGGGTTTGACTATACTCAGCAGTTTGGTGCTTCACCCCTTGAAGGTTCGTTAACGCCATTTATTCATAATGTGTTTAAAAGCAATATACAAAATTGCATTCTCGATGGTGAAATGATGGCTTACAATCCTGAAACGCAAACCTTTATGCAAAAAGGAAACAAATTTGACATAAAAAGAATGGTGGAGGACTCTGATCTGCAGACCTGCTTCTGTGTGTTCGACGTATTGATGGTTAACGATCAGAAGTTGGGGCACGAAGTACTAAGCAAAAGATATGAAATCTTAGGTAGCGTGTTTACCCCGGTAAAGGGCAGGATGCATATTGTACAGAAGAAAAGTGCCAGAACAAGAAAAGAAGTAATTGATGCTTTAAATGAAGCAATAGATAGCAGAGAGGAAGGGATTATGGTGAAAGATCCCATGTCCACCTACAAGCCTGACAAACGTGGGGAAGGGTGGCTAAAAATCAAGCCAGAATACGTGAATGGACTGATGGATGAACTAGACCTTTTAATTGTTGGTGGTTATTGGGGAAAGGGGTCACGTGGTGGGATGATGTCTCATTTTCTGTGCGCTGTTGCAGAGACGCCCCTTCCAAATGAAAAACCAACCGTTTTCCACTCAATTTGTCGTGTTGGCTCTGGCTATACTATGAAGGAGTTGTATGATCTAGGCTTGAAACTGGCGAAATTCTGGAAGCCCTACCATAGGAAGGACCCTCCCTGTAACATTTTGTGTGGAACGGAAAAACCTGAAATGTACATTGAACCTTGCAACTCTGTCATAGTTCAGATCAAGGCAGCCGAGATCGTCGACAGTGATATGTACAAAACTGACTGTACTTTGAGGTTCCCCCGAATCGAGAGGATACGTGAGGACAAAGAATGGTACGAGTGCATGACTTCAGACATGTTAGAAGACCTCAGAAGCAAAGCAGAAGGGAAACTGGCATCTAAGCACCTTCATGTAGATGAATATGATGAGCCGCATGAGAAAAAAAGGAAAACTGTTTCAAAAGTGAGGAAGGTAATTGGAATAGCTGACCAATTTAAAGCTCCTGATCTTTCTAGTGTAAACAAGGTTTCAAATGTATTTGAAGATGTTGAGTTTTGTGTTATGACGGGAACAGGGAAATACACAAAGTCTGAGCTGGAAAGCAGAATAGCTGAATGTGGTGGCAGTGTGGTACAGAACCCGGGGCCGGAGACTTACTGTGTCATTGCAGGAGCTGAGAATGTCAGAGTGAAAAACATCATTGCTTCCAACAAATATGATGTGGTGAGGGCAGAGTGGCTCCTTCAATGTTTTCAAACCAAAATGCTGGTGCCTTGGCAACCAGCCTTTATGATTCACATGTCTCCTGACACAAAAGAACATTTTGCTCGTGAGTATGATTGTTATGGAGACAGCTACACAGCAAACACAGATGTTGCACAGCTCAAGGAAGTGTTCTCAAGAGTGAAAGACAATAAAGCAATGCCTTTGGACAAAATTGCAGAGATAGAAGAACGTTATTCATGGAACAGTTGTCAGCTCAGTATATTCAGAGGAAACACTATTTATGTG